CAGTGTGTTACCTATGGGAGCTGAGAAATAGTTAGGCTGTCAAAAGAGAGTGATAGAAACAAGATTCCAGCAAATCCCCAAAGTTTAGCTTCAGCCATTCTTCCAAAGGCCTTAAAATGTACATTTTTATCTAACTTCTTGATTTGGCATTCTTAGACAAGCTCTCCCACTTCACTCTACACTCTTTATGGTTTTCAGTATTTTTTTCCAGAAATATATTAAATAAAATCATTGTAATTATAACCATAGAAAAATCTACTGTAGTTTATTAGTATTTTTTTTTGAGGCGAGAGATGGAAACATTTATTCTGTTTACTACTTTTTCATTAAATGCTGAGAGACTTCGGAGCAATGGTTACACCTAATACAAATATGAAATTAATACTATATGTTAACCAAGAACAACATATCCCAAACCACAAGACATTTAGATTAGAGTTTTAAAATAAAGTAGTTCTTAATTAAAGTTGACACTAGAAAGAGCATACGGGTGCAGGAAAAGAGGAAGCTGTCCAAGTGGTGAAATCATGGGCTATATTAATAAATGAAAAAATAAGATAAACCAATGTTAGACATGGAGAGAATACTGGCTTCGAAACCCAATTAAACTTATTGCAGCCTCTGAGTGAGATTCTCTGGAGCAGTACCTAATTGTGTAGCCCCTCACCTACTGGCCAAGTATTAATAGTTGAATGATCAGAGGGCCGACACCTGACCCAACCAAAAAAGTTGCTCACCCTTCGGATTATTAAACTTGAACTGCAAGATGTGGAGAGCAGTTACGGGGCTGAAACCTATAACAGTAGTGCTCTAGAGAAAAGATCAAGGAATTTCTACAGCCATAACCCTAGAAACTGTCCTTATTTCTGCATTTCCTCAATTGTGGATTTTAGCTCTATGTTAAATTGCATGAACTACTTCATGCAATTTTTCCAACAGATGTCTTTGTGCTTAGAATTGGGTTGCTTGCAAGCAAAAAAAAAAGTATCACGTTTTGAGGTCAATTTCATATCTCATTGTGATTCTCATTCAATCAAATATACCATCATTTTGTTGGACCCTTGGAGGGCTGAATGAGATGAACTTGATTTCTGCTTCATGGAGCTTTCAGTCTAGCAGAGAAAACAGACACTGATAAGTAATTGAAGTATGGAAATGGAGTGGTTTCATTCATTTATCAGACATATTTATTAAGCACCTATTATATCTATGGAACATCAGTAAAGAAAATAAAGATCTCAGCCCTTATGTCTTTTAGCAGGGGATGAAAATACTGAGTAATAAACCTAGAAATACATAAATAAGTGATATAGATTTAGAAGGTGGTAAGTGCAATGGGGAAAAAAATTAAAAATGGATCAAAAGGAACAGTGTATCAAAAGGCCTAGAGGCCAGAGAGAAATGGCAGGTTGGAGAAACTGAAAGGTTATTAGAGCTGAAATATTGACAAGAAGACTAGTGGCTCAAACTGAAGATCAAGAGGTTAGCCAAAGTAGATTGCTAAGGCCTTTATAAGCCATTTTGAGGATTTTGAACTTTATCCTAAGGCAGTCCAAAGCCACTTAAGAGTTTTAAACTATAGACTGACATGATCAGATTTGCATTTTAAATGTATGGTTCTGGCTGAAACCTGGAAAACACATGGAAAGCAAACACTAGTGGATGGGCGAGAATAATTGGGAGGCTTTTGTCCTAGTCCAAGTGAGAATTGGTGATGCCCTCGACTAGCTTGTGTTTCACAAATTGGAAAACAGTAGATATGTTACAATGGCTGTTATCAAGGCCTAGATTTTCAATTGCCCATATTTAGAGTAAATTAATACCTGCCCAGCTTTGTCTTCTACCTAAATTCTTGTACTCTTTTCTTCTCCAGTGAGACAGTATAGATGATGTAGGAGAAAACTACTTGCTGTGTTTACCACTCCACTAGCAGGTCTAGATCAAGGGTAACATACTGGTAAGCACTGAGTTATTTGGTCCTTGTAATTTGTTATGACATCATGTTATACTCACATATTTTTTTAAAGGCAGAGAAACTAGATAGGGGTTATCATTGCTGCACAAGCAATTTAACACTAAACCAGTTTCATGGGTATATGTTACGTTTATATAATTATTTAATTTTTTTTAATTTTTAGCATAGATACTAATCCTACCTTAAGTGGTCAGTTCCTTTTTTGACCTGGGTCTAGCTGAGGCTCTTTCAATTCCAAAGATGTAGACAGAAATGACATGAAACTATGACCCCATTGCTTCGAGTCTTGCCAGTTCCAAATGTAATACCAAAGGGAAGACAAGACTTTCAATCTGTCCAAATATTCCCCCTCTTATTCTTGAGGAAGTGAGAAAGGAAGAGTACCAACTACCACCTTTCGCCATATTGGAACATGGTTCCCTGTTGCCCAATTGAGTGTCTTGATTCTTGAGAAATCTTCTCCCTTAAGGAAGCTGGGGGAGGTGGGATGGGGAAACACAAGTTAAGGACATAGTTTTTAACTGTGTCCATTGCAACATTTTATTATAAAAATGTACTTTTTTTCTTTTAAAGAGTTTTATTGGGGAATTGGGGGATGGGAACAGCACTGGGGAATTGGGGGAAGGGGAACAGAGAAGTTGCTGTCCTTTTTGTTCTTCAGTCTAGCTGTGGAGGACGTTGCTTCACTGGCCCAAGTTGGCACCATCATTGCGCTCTTCCCGGGTGAGGCAGATCAGTCGCCGGCTTCTGGACNCTCATGCTGGCTGCTGGCTACACATGGTAGCCCATGGCAACCCACTGCAGCAGGGGTTGCAGCCTATGCCGTCGCCGGCGACTCATAGCAGCCCAGCTCCAGGTTGAGCTGTTGTTCAGCATCTTAGCTGTAGAGGGCAGTGCCACTGGCCCTCATATGTGGGATCCGAACCGGGGTCCTCTGGTTTCCCAAGCCAGCTCTTAAGCATTGCGCCACTCGGCTGGTCCAAAAATGTACTTTTTAAACATAAGTTCCAACTTATATTACTTTGTCTTGGAATTTCTCCCTCATGAATTATTTTGCATCTTGTTTGAAGTGAACCATTTTAAAATTTATGCCCTGTCCTACTTTTATTTCAAGAACTTACTTAAAATATCTTTTTTTCTCTTTGCCCTGCTCAGATATGCATGAACATTTTATGCATTTCACATTCTTTCAGATGGAGAAAATAATATGCTAATCTGAACAGTGGTAAAACCAGTCAGAATAGAGATTTTTTTCTTAAAAGAGTGGACAGTGCAGCATCTTCTTATTGCTGTCACTTACCTCTGTTGTTAATATGTCATGCAAAAGACATGGATTAGTAAAACAAGGCCGTAGAACGTGAATTTGAGAGTGTTCTCAATTTGATGGAGCCCAGTATAGTGGATGTTTACTCCTTGAGGGCAGGTAACATGTTCTACTTCTTTTTGTACCCCTTACTCCATCCTAGGCGTCAAGCATGTACATACCAGTTACATGTGCTTAGATGAGTGGGTTAAATTCAAATTCATGATAATTACTTATGTCACTTCTTATTCTGTACTTAAGTTTTACTAGAAATCACACCAGGGATGGCCAAAGAAGAGATTTTGACTAGGAATTGAGTGCTGGGTTATGTGACTCTCTAGAGCTGGTATGTGAACATACCCAAGAAAGGGAAAGTCCAGGAACAAGCTGCTGAAGAACAGACTAGAAATTAGACAAGTCTTCCAGTTTGAATGTATAGGCAGGTCACCTGGAGGACTTCATGAAGCACAGGGTGCTGGGCCCTGGCCCCTGGGAATTTCTGATTCAGGAGATCAAGAGTGTGGAGCCTGAGAATTTGCTTGTCTAACAGTTTCCTTCCCACATGATGCTGAGCCTGCTAATCCAAGTAGCCTACTTCGAAAACTACAGAATTAGACCTTGGAGAGCTGGGCAGGCTGCTTGCTCTGTGATCTGCAGAGAAGGAGTGATTTCAGAGATTTGCTAAGGCAGCACCTAGATAGTGTAACTAAGGTGTCAAAATAGTTTTAAAGGTCTTGCTTGCTCCCAATCAACAGGACTGATGGCTATACTCTGGCAGAAACAGGAGAGCATGGCTTTAAGAACTCAAATGAGAGTTCAAAGGAGCTGACAAATGAGATGGAAGATAGACTGTATAGAGTAGACTTAGTAATACTTTCAACCAAGTTAACTTAATTTAGCAATGTAAGACCATGTACTTATATCTAAGCTAATTTACATATAGGTGACTCCCCTCAAATATTCTTACACTGCAAGGAAACTTTATGCTCTAACTGATTGTGAATAGTCTTACAAGGATGGGGAAGGTGGAGAAAGCCCAAGGAGAAGGGGAAGCCCATTCATCCTAGAGAAAGGATTTAGGAGAAACTGTGTCCACTCCCCACCCTTAACCCTCCCCTCTCAGTGCCATCTTCTAGGTAAATAGCCTCAAGAAGTTTTTGAAACTGTGGCAACAGCTTTAGCAACCAGGTATCATGGGGGACACATTTCACTTTATTGAAACACTGAAATGGAAACTACCGAAAATTTAGAACTGATTTTCTATGCTTCAGCTGTGCTCAGCTAATTAGGTATCTTGCATGTTAAAACTTGAGTATAAAGTTTCTGCATACTTGTCTGTGTTTCTTCCAGATGAATTTTATATAAGGCAGTAATCATTTAGGACTTTGGGGGGAACTGGCATTTATTTTTGTTACAGAATTTCATGGACTCAGGTGGATTTTTCTCAATTTACCAACAGAAAGGAATAGAGGTATTACATTAAAATGAACTATGTAAAAAAAAATTTGTTACATGTTAGTAACCAAAAGGTCAAATGTTCATATTTAATTTAACTTAATTTTTGTTAATCTGAAAAAAAATATTAAGAAAAACCTGCTTAGTGATCCCTTCAAGGAAAGCTCAGCTCATGTATAAAAAGCCCCATAAAAATGACTGGAGACCTTGGCTACACATCCAGCGGTCAAATATTTCGATGCTTCATTGCTCCCGTTCCTGTTACAGGTACATGTGACAGCGCTGCAGCTATGAGTGGAATTTTAAAGAGGAAGTTTGAAGAAGTTGAAGGCTCCTCACCCTGCTCCTCTGTGCGGGAATCAGATGATGAAGTTTCCAGCAGTGAAAGTGCTGACAGCGGGGACAGTGTCAATCCATCCACTTCTAATCATTTTCCCCGTGAGTACAGGAACCATATCTGAAACTGATTATCTGTTCTACACTGAAAATAATTGTATTGTCTTGATCATTTTTTTAAGCCGTCATTACTAGTGTGCGTATATGTATGTGTGTGTGTGTGTGTGTGTATATATGTATATATATGATTAAGTAAAAATGAAATATGCTTAAGGCATCAGTGAACTCCTTTATTTAGATTGCTTTTCGCAATGGATTACCTGGTCATGTTAACCAACTGATTCAATGAAAAAAATGACAGTTGATGACTATTGCTTTTTGAAGGAAGTACCTTACTCTGGGAGTAGATGGGAAAAGATAAGTACAGGCACAAAATAATTTATCCTCCCATAGCAGAAACGATATTCTGGGAGGGGAAAAAAAAAAAAAGAATGTATTTGAGAACTGAAGGTCTAGGTTAGGATGAGAAAAAGCTTAGCCAGCCATGCATTAAGAGAGAAAAATAAAACCAGCAGCGAAACTCCTCCAAGTGTGCAAGTGCATGCAGTTTATCCCTTCATTCTCTCAGCCCCAAGAATAATATTTAAAGCCCACAAAGAAGAAGAAATGTATGGTTTCTCTGATTCCTTTTTCTACCACACTGCAACATCATCCCTTCCTGTCAGGCAGGGTATTGTGAAGCTTGAAGAAATGATGAGAAAAATTCTTAAGGTATTACAACATACAAGCTAAAGGAAACTTACTAGTAATAGCTAAATAATCTTCTTGAATTTATGTTTCCAACAAGATTTTAATATATCATGATAGATACCTAGTCTTAGTTTCTTTCATTTTTCAGTAAAGTAGCTGATTATATTAATATATGATTTTATAATATTAGAATTTATTTTGTAAGTGTGATAACCCAAAAAATCAAAAGAATTAACCATATTTTTAAGACATAATAAGGAACTCAATAAAACTGTTGAACATGAAACAAATATACCAAAAATCCATAGCATTTCTTTAAGCAAGCAAATCAAATAGGAAATACAATGAAAGGGCAATTACAACTATTATAGCAGGGGGAAAAAATCATAAAATATTTAGGGACAATGTTATTGTGTGATGTAGGTGATCTACAAATACATTTACCTGTGTCGTGATGATATGAAATGAGCTTATGTTTTTTATTTAAAAGAAGAAACGTCTTTACCAATTTTGTCTTAATATTGACAGTGATAATAATATCATCATCATCTAACAGGGTTTTGTGAAGATCAACAGAGCAGGTGAGATAACACACATGAAAGAACTTTGTAGGATGTCAAATACTAAGCACATGTTATTAAAAATTATAATTATAGCTAGCATTTATTGGATACATGTTATGCTCCAATAGCTTTGTATACATTATCCCTATTCTTCACAGCAATCCTGGAAGTACCACTACTCCCTTTAATTTACAGAGGAAATAACTGAGGCTCGGAGAGACTAAGCATTTTGCCTAAGATCGCACAGGATTTGAGCCTTATCCCACTCCATAGTCTTCAACTTTTCCATTATCTCCTTCTGCCCCTTAATTATAATATTGGACATATCTTTAAAATATTATTCATTGCAAGTTATAAAAGAATGCTTGAATTAGTGAAGAGAAAGGTTATGTTTCTGGATATAACAATATAATAAAGCTAAATATTTTCACATTAATTTATCAATATAAGAGTATAATCTTAATAAAATTCTCAACTGGATTGTCTTAGAAGGTGATAAAATGATAAAAATCCATCTGGAAAAATAAGCTAGTGAGAATAAAGAGATATTTTTAAAGAAGGCGTAAGTGTTGAAAAGCCATTCCAGATATGAAAGCATAATAGAAAATGATATAATTTAACTTTTGTGATACTGGCTAGACTAGGAATGTATAGAAAATCTCTATATCCAAGAATTGCATCAAAGAAATTTAATATATATAAGAATAAAGCATTATAGACCAATGGGAAAGGGAAGGAGTATTTAATAAATGGTTGTGATATTAGAATTTGCAAACAAAGTAATTTAGATACACATCTCACAACATAAACAAAAATACATTAGAGATGGATTAAATAGATAGTTTTTTTAATCAAATCATGGGGGATGTTGCATATTTGTCTGACATTTAGTGGGATCATTATATGAGCCCTGAAGTAACAGGAAAAAGTCGCATTGCAATATACTTAACATATTTAATAATCTAAAAATATTAAACTTATCTGCTGCAAAAAAAAAACCCTACACACAAAGCCCAAAGTAAAACAACCTATATTGGAAAATAATATTTGCTTTGATATGGTATAGGGTTATTTTCTAGGTAGAGCATAAAAAACACATACAATTTTTAGATAAATACTAAGACACATATCCCAAGGATAATCCACATAATAGAAAATATGATTAGCAAATATTTTAAGAATTTAACAACAGTGGTAAAACAATACTCATGGTATGAATATAAAATCATGGAAATTTTATTGCCATGAAGTTAGTGCGCCTCTTGCCAATAAAAAATACTGATATCTAAGTCCTGGTGAAGGCCACAGTACAAATCTTAGGTACATACATTGCTACTGATGGCAGTGAAATTTAGAAAGCACTTTGGAAACATAAGAACCATAAAAATATTTGCATCTATAAATTTATACTTCACATAATGTATCTGAAGGGGGAAACATCAAAAACAAGGGGAAAAAAATGTATAAATGAAAGTGTTGGTGCTTGATGATAGTGCCAAAACACATGGGTTGGGGGCGGGGAAGAAGAATATAAGGTGTCTAAGAGTGGGGAAATGAACCATGAATTTATGGTAACTTATACTTTAATTTTTTCATGAAAATTCAATTATTTTCATGAAAGTTATGAAGATCTTATGGCAATATGTAAAATACTTATGAGATAATATTAAAAAAAGCAGAGCACAAAATTTTACCTATAATTGTAGGGAAAGTCTGTATACATAGGGCAAAGAATAGTAAGGTGCTCTAAAAGCTGAAAGCTATTTGACTTGAGATATTAGAATGATGGATGAATTTTTATATTTATTACTTTTTATTTCTGTTAATATTTTATGTATCCCACATCAAATGAGTTTTAAGCTAAAATAATTTTAGTTCAGATTGCATGTTTGTATGGAGACAGCAGATTGAAATGGCATGATAAACTAAATTATGCAATATACCAGCTAACTAGTAAAGACTTTTTTGAGTTATGTCCAATGGATATTTTTCCCACTGACTAGAATAAACATGTTTTATGATGTCCAAAAAGTTATTGAAATGTTTTAGTTCATCAGTTATTATCAGTGATATTTGGCAATGGTTAGTTAGTTTACTAAATTGCTGATTTAACTTTGTATTGAATGAAATCTGGTAGAGGTTTTTCATGATGTTTAAAGATAATTAAATCATTAATTTCATAAAAAGTGCTCTTTTCATTTAATAATCTGCTTAGTTTACCATATTCTCATTATAGAGAGGAAAGAAAAGTGGGAGGAATTAAACAAAGAATCAAAAGATGAAAATTCTACCTAGAATATTTAATGTCTGAAAGATATGAGCATGTTAACCAGTGTGAAAGGAGTAGTTGAAGGGTTTCTTTTTCTAGAAATGCGTTTCAGATTATTTGCTAGTCAAAAACTTGATGCACAATTTTAAGCATATGTTTTATTTATTTTTTCATCTAGATTAAAATATGTACTTATGTGCAGTGGTCTAATTATCTGCATGTGAATCTATGAACAAAACCTTTTGGAAATGTTATTATTGGTGAATTCTCTTTCTTATATTTTTCCTACTTTCAAACAATAAAAGCGAATACCTGTTTTAGAGTAGAGAAGGATTTTTGATGACTATCAAATTTGTGTACCGTTAGGAAACCAAATTTAATTTCACATTGAGAATTTTAAAGATACGGTTTTTGAAATCTCATGGAGCTCATCTTCCAAATTTAAAATCGTTCATGTATTTAGTGCTTTCTAAGCACTAACATTGTGTAACATAACATTTTCTTATCATTACAAATATAGGAATTGATAAGATTGTTTGACACATGTCAGCAGCTATGATAGTAGAATATTCCATGATATTCTAAGCTTTCTGTAAAGATATTCAATATGCAGCACATCACATTATGATAATAAAAGCTTCAAAATAGAAATCAGTAAAGGCTTATGCTTTTTTCCTTGGACTTCTGAGTTTTGCTAGGCAACTAGCATACTTAACAATGACCAACCAAGGTCATATCTTGTACTTCCCTTGAGATACAAGCAGCTGGATTCTTATTGCTGTGGAACCCTTTGTTTCATCAAATCCCTGTGGCTCTATAGCCAGTCAGCCTGTACTTGAGCACTGTGAAAAGGAGAGCTACAGAGACGCTAGAGAGGACTGATTTTTTTCTGTCCTCTCAAGGTTCTTGGCACTTCACGTGAATAAAGAGAAGCTGTGTGATGAAACATCCCTCCCAAGGGAACACATTGATTTTCCTGCAATACAGTGTTTCTACAAATAAATGTATAGTATTTAGGAAGTGAAAATGTCAAGAGGTAAAAGGATAGCTATTCTAAATTGCAGATGAAAGCAGATAGTGGATGTCCTACATAGGGATAAAATTTTCTAATTTACAAAACACTTTCATATTCTTGAGTCCATTTGATATCCAAAAATTGTTGTGTGTTAGAAGCCATTATCGTACCCATTTTATAAAAGTAGAAATTAACATTCAGATGTGTTCATCATTTACTCAAGAGCTGAGATTATACTCCATGTTTTCCTCCCTCCCTCCCTCCTTTATTACTTCCCTCTCTTTGCTCTCTGAATACGCAGGGTATAAACACCCCACCATGTGCACCCAAGTCAGAGTCTTCTGCCAATGTTGTTTCTTCCCCACTGACTACACATTTCATAACGGATTTGGAAATAAATATTCATTAGAAAACAGATTTTGACATGAAACTTGACTATACTGGAAGTATGACTGAAATATATCTATTCTCTACCAAGCGGTTAAGATGCCTTGAAGATTTAGATTCAGTTTCAACAAATACAGTATATCTATGTTACAGGCTCGGCACTAGATGCTTTCAGAAAGGTCTGAATGATAGACTACAAGTAGTAAATACAGTGACAGACCATGTCTACCCAGCATTGCCATATTAATTTGATAATTTCCTATATAGCAAAGACAAGAGTAGGCATTTACCCCGGAATCAGTGATTCTTCAAATGATGGCGGCGTGTTCAGGCAGAAACTGAAGTTTTTTAGGGGAAGTCTTTGATTGGGAAGGACGTAGGACCACATGACCTTCAAAAGCTCCTTCCTACTCTGTGATAATATGATTCTAAGAACAAAGATCCAAATAGCATCTTAAATTGGAGCAGACTCTGAGTAGGTAAATATAGGCAAGGTCAAAACACCTCTCTAACCTACTATTAAATTAAAAGATCCCCAGACTTTCCGCACTCCCTTATGTTGGAAAAGAACCAGTTAGCCAGGCCTTGTCAGATCAGATCTGGAACTAGTTGCAGATCTGCTATACTAGGTCATGTACCTAAACACCAGACATGGACTAGTTGAATCACTAGGTGTTTAGTTTGTTGGAGATAAGGGAGCTAAGTAGTCAGGTAATTATGAGTGAAGGAAGATAGATATGACCTAGTGGTCTTTTCAGAAAATAAGCACAAGTGTACTGTAAAGCAC